TTCCCGTCCCCTTCCCCGATCCCGCCGGCGACTACACCGTTCTCGTCGGAGACTGGTACAAATCCAATCACACGGTACGTTCGTTTTCAGGTTCAATCTTAATATTCTCAACTTTTTTAAAATGGGGAATGGGCTTCCCGCTGACTGCGGATCGCATTATCGCATTGGCATTCTCGCTACGCTAGTTCTGCGGTGCCTTCCGTCGGTAACCTGTGGGGTCCACCCCCTGACTTTTAAATTTTTTGAATTATTGCCCACCCAATCAAATGCTTCGCTTTTTTGTTCGGTGGGCTTTAATAATGAATCCAACCAAAAACTTAATACGCGACTTCATTTTCCCTTCACCAAAGTTCTCGTGTTTTTTTCCTTTTTTAATTTCTAAATTTTCATATTTACTATTCTATCTCTCTTTTTCTAGATACATTTATCATTCTATATCTAAATCTTTAAATATTTTATTTTATTATTTTTAAAAAAGAAAAATCATTGCCATTATATTTAAAACATATCATGCACCGGTTTTAAATGGTTTATTTACCTAATGATTTGGTTTTTACGTGATTGAATAAAAAAATAAGTACTAAAATGAAATAGGTTTTGGACCAAAATATAATTTGAACCTTCATAATTTTGTTCTCTAATCTTTGGCAAGCAGACGTTGAAGGCTCATCTGGACCGTGGTAAGAAGCTTCCATTTCCGGATGGCGTGCTCATCAATGGCCGTGGCAATGGCACCTCTTTTAGCGTTGAACAAGGTAGTTTACTTTCCTGGTTTAATCTGATCACTGATTCAAAGGAGAATGGGTATCCAATATGGAAACAAGATGATTGATTGTTAATTTTCAATGCTGTTGTTGCAGGAAAAACTTACCGATTGAGAATCTCTAATGTGGGGCTAGAGCATTCCCTCAACTTCCGGATTCAAGGTCACAAGTTGAAGCTTGTAGAGGTGGAGGGAACACACACCCTTCAAACAACTTACTCCTCGCTCGATGTTCATGTCGGCCAGTCTTACTCCGTGCTCGTCACGGCAGACCAGCCAGCTCAGGACTACTACGTCGTCGTTTCCACTCGTTTCACTTCTCGGGTCCTCACTGCCACCGGCATTCTTCGTTATAGCAACTCTGCTGGCCCTGTCAAAGGCCCCCCTCCCGGTGGTCCTACCATACAAATCGACTGGTCCCTCAACCAAGCCCGCTCTATTAGGTTGGCTACTTTCCATACACTCTATCCTTTTCAGCTTAGTAATAGGCTATAGATTAAACAACTCAGCGTAAGCGTTTAGATTTAATTTAATGGTAATTTAACATAGTTATTCCATTACACTAGTGAGTTTAGGCCATCGCTTTCACTAAACAAAACCAAGTGGTTAGGCCATTGCTTTCCATGTCTTGGTATAGTCTTGATTGTGGCCTTTTCTTTTTGTAGGACCAATCTTACAGCCAGTGGACCAAGGCCAAACCCGCAAGGGTCATATCACTATGGTCTCATAAACACAACTAAAACCATCATACTTGCAAGTTCTGCCGGCCAAGTCAACCGGAAACAAAGGTATGCGGTTAACAGCGTATCCTTCATCCCTGCTGACACTCCCCTGAAGCTTGCTGACTTCTTCAACATCGGAGGGGTTTTTCGCGTTGGAAGCATCTCTGACAGGCCTACCGGTGGAGGAATCTACCTCGACACGTCAGTGATGGGTGCTGACTATAGAGCGTTCGTTGAAATTGTTTTCCAAAACAATGAAAACATTATCCAAAGTTGGCATATTGATGGCTACTCTTTCTTTGTGGTCGGGTAAGCTCAATATAGTATTCACATACTTTAGATGCTTGATATATATGTTGTTGATATATATGTTGGTTAACTCTAATAGATATTTAGTTGTAATACCAGTCGATCTATGATTCGTGTTCTCGATTTCTGAAAGCGTTTTGTTTTTTCAGCATGGATGGGGGCCAATGGACGCAGTCTAGCAGAAACCAGTACAATCTCCGGGATGCAATTGCTCGTTGCACGACTCAGGCAAGCCTTGAGTTTCAATTCCCTTCTGGCTTTCTGCCAAACAATTCCTCTGTTTGAATCGCCTAACGATGGTGTTTGGTGCAGGTATACCCTTATTCATGGACTGCAATTTACGTAGCTCTCGATAACGTAGGGATGTGGAACGTAAGGTCGGAGTTTTGGGCTAGACAATATCTCGGACAACAATTCTACCTCCGTGTCTATACGACATCGACTTCGCTTAGGGACGAGTTCCCCATTCCAAAAAATGCTCTTCTGTGTGGCAGGGCAAGTGGTAGACACACCAGACCACTCTAAATCCATAGCATTCCAAATACTTAGATATCTGAGAGGTAGTTAATGCCTATCTTAGCTTCGGTATGTCATGGAAAAGCAATGTCTCTTTGCTTTTGTAATTGTCGTAGACTGGAATATCTATAGTTAGACCGCTCCCACTGATCGACCGACCCCAGCTCAGGGTCGGATCACATTCTTTCGCTAGATATCATTGGATTTCCTTGCCCATTTGGCCATCTCTTCTCTATATTGTTATCTATCAATGGTAGTTAATATCAAAATATTGCTTGAATCAAGTTTAAGCTTGTGCCGCATGTATCTTTTGTCGTGGATATTGTCACTCTTTTAAATGGAGTATAGTTGAGATTAAAAAGATGTTATTTGAGATTATGTCTGGAATTGTGAGAAATTGGATCTGATAATTTTTTCTATGTGAACTTTTATCGACGCTTAGAACTGGCTTGTTTGTTTTGTTTGAGGATCACTGGTGGGGAAGAGGGAAAATAACTACCATGCAAGCTGAAAATATCCTATTTCTTTGTGGGGAGCGAACAAATAAAATATAGAAACATATATAGTAATATAAGATTTTTTTAGTACATGATACGAGGACATGAACTTCCGACCTCAAATAAAATAGCGTATACTTTCATTAGCTATAAAATAAGTTATTCTAATGACTATCAATCCATTGTAATTACGCCATAATAATTTGAACCATGATAACATTTAATATAAATAATTTGAGTGAATAATAATAATTTTGTGTGAAAAATGAACCTAACAAAAGTTTGAGAAATATTAATTGAAGTGTATTTTCTTAAACATGTTTATAGGTCAAGTAAGTATTAAACATAGTAAGATAGCTATTGCTTGGTACACTAACATGAATATAATTTATTGGTCATGACATGTTGTCCATTTCATAGAGGTCAAAAGTTCAACTTTCCATTTATTGTACTAAAAATAATACAAAATATATAAATTAGGTTTAAAAAAAATTCAATTTGTACCCAGGAACGAAGCGGTGTACAGAGAAAACCTCAGCAACCCAATCGAAACTGTAGGGAAATGTTGGATTTGGGTTGGGTTAAGTTTCTAAGAACCGATCGATTCGGTCATCAGTTAATAAATTAAATTATTGGTTTATTATGAACCGAACCGATTATATATAAATGGTAAAAACCGACCAGCGGGGGTTAATCAATACTACGGTTGGGGTGTTGTTTATAACCGGAAAGAACGAGGGTTTGGGGGTCTTTGTTCAGGCGCCGCTCTCCCGTAGAAGCTCCATCGTGTTTCTTTCTCGTCGTCCAGTTCCAGCGGAGGACCAACCGATTTTTAGCAGTTTTAGAGGGGATTTTGGGGTTTGGATCTGCAACTGCTGTTGTTGTATTTAATTGAAATTCCTATTTTTGCGACACTTTCTTTTTGGATTTCACAGTTTTTTTCTTTCCCCTTCCTTTCTGTATTGGACTCTCAGAAATGGGATTTTAAATTTTGCCACTTTCCTTTTCTTCGGAAATTAGGGTGTCGTTTTGAGTTCTCTCTCTCTCTCTTTTTTTTTTTTTGCCTTTCTGCAAACCGACCCAAACCGATTTCACTAATAAACCGAATCGATTTTTTTTAAAATAAATTTTTGCTGAAAATGGAACTGAACCGATCAAAATGTCACCGCTACGACCTAATAGAGCCCGCTAAGTTTCAGTAAAGCCCAAGTGCTCTCCATCTCACTGCCTCTCCCCTCTCTCACGATCTCAATCTCACGATTTCAGAAACTCTTGCCTCTCATACTCTTCTCACTGCCGCCATCCGCCGTCCGCCCTCGCCCGTCGCCGCCGTCTATCGCCTCTCATCTCAGGGTTCATTATCGTCCACGGTAATGATTTATTTTAGAGCTTTATTTTTTCCTTTTTAGTTGTGAGTGAATTTTTGTGGCTGCTCGAAAAGTTTGCAACCTAGTTCTTAAAGAAAAATCCGGAAACGGAAATGGTTGCCGAGTTGATTCTGAGCGATCCTTGGCTTGCTTTGTGGTTATTATCCAGTATGTCTCATTTCGTTTTCTTTTTATTGACTGAAAAGCGGTGCAACGTTTCAGGTAGTTCATTCTTCAGTTAGGTCTCAGTTTCCATCATTTCTATGGCGGTAAGTTAGTTTCTAGAGACTATACTTTTCTAGTTCATTCTTCAGATGTTTCCATCATTTCTATGACAGTCATTGCTCATCTTGTTTGTTATTGTTTTTATCTAGTTTTGTTTGTTTATTACGTGAATGTCAAACTTTGTAGGTCGACAAAATCCTGAAAGATGAAGCGAACGAAGAGAAGGGGGAGCGTGCTAGAATGGTAAGTTTCAGAATTCGTGCTGTTTTAGAGATTTGATTATACTACCAGTACCAGTAGAAGTTTCTTCGCTTTTTCCCATTCGTAAGTTTAATATCTTTCAATCACTTTTCTTAGGCATCATTCATTGGTGCTATGGCGATTGCTGATTTGGTTAAGACAACATTAGGACCAAAGGGGATGGTAAGTCCCACTGCTTATTCTTCCTAAATATATATATATATATTATAACCAGATACCAATGTGACAAAATGAAACAACGGATTACTAGCTTAGCTGGTCTCTATTTCTTACCTTTATATGATTCTGTGATTGTGCATGTAATACCTTCCAGGACAAAATTCTCCAATCTACTGGCAGAGGACGGCAAGTCACTGTCACCAATGATGGTGCCACCATTTTAAAATCTCTCCATATTGATAACCCAGCAGCCAAAGTTCTTGTTGGTATCCTTTGTCGAGTGTTTGCCGTGTTTTATCTTTTACGCAATTGCATGGCTATTGTAGTCCTGGAAGTTTGTTTAATTCTTGTATGGGTACTTCATTTATTTTACTGTTGAAGTCGTGCCTTTCCTATGGCTTTATATGAAGATTCTTTGACCACAAGTTTAAGACATATCAAAAGCTCAAGATGATGAAGTGGGTGATGGCACAACCTCAGTTGTTGTTCTGGCGGGAGAACTTCTAAGGGAAGCAGAGAAATTGGTTGCTTCAAAGATTCATCCGATGACAATTATAGCAGGTATTTTTATAATTATGTTTATGCTACGTTACTGTATAGACATCTAGAGGTATGACATGGAGATGAATCTACTTTCTCTTCTCTATGTGTGTGTGTGTGTATGTATGCATGCATGCCATGTCTCCTTCTCTCTCTCCCTCCTCCATTTTTCATTTTTCATTCTCTGGCAGCTAGATGGATTATTTGACTATCTGTTAACCTTTCTTACCATTTTATTCAATCTTGGGAGCTTTTTGATGCTTTTACGTTGTACATCATGTTTTCTGCAGTTTTCATTTTTTTGTGGTACCTTGTAACGAGTCTCAAACTTATGACGATTCATTTGAAACTTTCAGGTTATAGGATGGCTGCAGAATGTGCTCGTAATGCCTTGCTGCAGAAAGTTGTGGATAACAAAGGAGATTTAGGTATTATGCCCATCTTTTCTATCATTTTACCTTTTCTTGGTCTAGCATGAGACTGAAGTATATTTTTCTAATCAGTAACTTTAGTTTCAAATCTTCTATGGACTAGAATAGAACTGTTCTCCATCTTATATATTCTGAAGCAACACATTACCCTTTTTTCAGAGAAATTTAAATCAGACTTGATGAAGATTGCAATGACTACCCTGAGCTCAAAAATTCTATCACAAGACAAGGAGCATTTTGCCAAATTGGCAGTGGATGCTGTAATGAGGTTAAAGGTGAATGCTCATTCATAATATATTTATAGTGATTTTGGTTAAAATTATGTAAGAACAAGTTTGGTTCCAAGTTTAAATATATTGATGTTTATTGTTGGCTGCTGCTATTAGATGGATACTGTTCTCCATGTAATATATTCTATGTTCATGTGTGTGTGTGATGAGAGGGAGGGAGGGAGAGAGACACATGTTAAATGCTATGTAGCTGTGTTCATGTTGTGTTGGTGTGTTTTTATATTCCTTTCCCTTTGGGCATGTGTGTTCTACTTTTATTTGATATTTGCTTTGTTGAAATTGCAGGGCAGCACAAACTTAGAGTCAATTCAAATCATCAAGAAACCTGGAGGATCCTTGAAGGATTCCTTTTTAGATGAAGGGTGAGTTTTGGTTTAGTGTTTTTCCCCACCTTATAACAAGTTTGAAGCCTATACAAGTATGCTAAAGTTACAAATCCACATTCTAAAGGGTATATAATATAACTAGAAAATGTAAAAAATTGGTCATAATTTCTTTTATCCTCTTGGAAAAATAGTTTTTTTTTAATAAATAAAATTTAGTTTGGTATTGTATTTTCTTTCCTCAGGTTTATTCTTGACAAGAAAATTGGTATTGGGCAACCGAAACGCATAGAGAATGCCAAAATTTTAGTGGCAAATACTGCTATGGACACTGACAAAGTTAAGATTTATGGTGCTCGAGTTCGTGTTGATTCAATGGCAAAAGTTGCTGAAATTGAGGGAGCTGAAAAGGAAAAAATGAGAGAGAAGGTGAAGAAGATAATTGCTCATGGAATCAACTGTTTTGTTAACAGACAGTTGATCTACAATTTCCCAGAGGAACTATTTGCAGATGCAGGAATACTTGCTATTGAGCATGCTGATTTTGATGGCATAGAGCGTCTGGGTTTAGTAACTGGTGGTGAAATTGCTTCAACTTTTGACAATCCCGAATCTGTGAAACTTGGACATTGCAAGTTGATCGAGGAGATTATGATTGGCGAGGACAAACTGATCCATTTTTCAGGTGTGGAAATGGGTCAGGCTTGTACAATTGTGCTGAGGGGTGCAAGGTATTTTAAAAAATACAGTAGATTTCGTTTATCTCATTTTACAGATATTTTGGAGTGCTTTATTATATTACAGAGAAACATAAATTCCTAGAGAATTTTTCTATACTTTGGTCAGTTAATAATTTTTTTAACATAATATTTATCATACATTTCTATGGATGGTTTATTTCTGATAAAAAAAAAGAATGGTAAATATCATAAAGTGATTTTGGACCTCTGGTGCAAGAAGGCTTTATCACCTACAATTGTTACCCTGCAATTGGTGTCCAATCAGATGAACCCTCAGTTGGATATTTTTTAATGATTATTTTTACATTTACATTTTACCTTGGAGCTGTCTCATTTGAGTTGTTATATGTTTTGACAGTGCTATTTTTGCGTCTTGTTTTTGTTGTTTGCCAGTCATCATGTCCTTGACGAGGCTGAAAGGTCTCTGCATGATGCCTTGTGTGTACTGTCTCAGACAGTCAATGACAGCAGGGTCCTGCTTGGAGGTGGATGGCCTGAGATGATTATGTCAAAAGAAGTGGATGAGTTGGCTAGGAAGACTCCTGGGAAGAAATCGCATGCTATCGAAGCTTTTTCACGTGCTCTTCAGGCTATTCCAACTATCATCGCTGATAATGCTGGGTTGGATAGTGCTGACTTGATTGCACAGCTCCGGGCTGAGCATCACAAGGAAGGCTGCAATGCAGGGATTGATGTCGTCTCCGGATCGGTAAGTGTTGAGATCGAAACATATTTTAGAAGGGTAACACCTCAATTTTTAAAACAAATTGCTGCACTGAATACATATCATATGTAGGAAGATACAGTCCCCAATCCTCATGATGTGGCAATCCCCCGTTCTTTTTGTTATGTTATTTAATTGATTGTAGATTAAACACTCGTCATGTTAGAATATTGAAGCTCAATAAGACATAGGCTGCGAACTGAAATTTGTCGATAGAAGATTGCCATTTTGTTCCATGCTTGTACAATAGGGAACTTTTTAAGTTAATCAACTAGGTTTGTCCAACTGCATTAGTGCCACTCAGTTTGGTTCCTAACGACAGATTTGCTTGAAAATATTCTTACAACCCTGGTTGAGGGCCAATTAGTTTCATACCTCAAGCACCTCCCCTGATACTTCATTAGAGCTGGCCAATCTGTAATATGAAGCAATGTCATTAATTCACAGGACAAAGAGAGACTCCCTGACTCTACGCCATAGTTTATTGTGTTCAAATTTCTTCTTTAACCCTGTTCTGTTGTGTGATATCTGTGACAGGTGGGAGATATGGCAGAACTTGGCATCTCAGAAGCATTCAAAGTCAAGCAGGCCATACTGCTCTCTGCAACAGAGGCAGCTGAGATGATTCTTAGGGTTGATGAAATCATAACTTGTGCCCCACGGAGGAGAGAAGATAGAATGTAAAAGAGTGGTTTAGTCTGTAAGGAACTGTGTTTTCTATCTTATGACATATATTTATTGCCATCAGTGTTTGTGAATGTTTGTCATATGTAAGGCTGGATTTTGTAGGGAGGTTGCATTTTCTTGCAAGAATTTTGGGTTTTCCGCACGCTGCCGAGTTTTTCTGATATGGCATTCATTGATGAACTTACAAGAGGATGCATATGTTGTTTGGGTTTTGGTTACCTTATCCTTTTGTTCTTCAACCTTTTATTTTCCTTCTGTCCATTGCCAAAGGATGTTTGTGTTGGTGCCCATATTTAACTTGGTTTCTGAATATACTACTGCTTCAGAAACCAAGTTAAAAACTTGAAAAAGAAGGTAAAAGTAAAACGTGTTCTTATTGTGACTTCATTTCAATGTATGGATTGTTTTGTTTTGGAGTAAACTGCGAGATAGAGTTGGAAAATGGTTATCATAATTAATTCAGTTTTTTTAAAAATGGAAAATAAGTGTATTTCCTGAAATATGATGAAATATACGTGTCAAAAATAGAACAGATTTTTTTTTTTTTTTATTTCTTTGAAGTTTTCAAGATTTTTATTATTTTGCCACTTAATATTAGCCCATACTTTTATTTCAACGAGTATGTAAGCGGAAGATCAAATTTCCAAAGTTTCAACTTTAAGGAAGATGAGATGTCTTATTTAGTGAGGTATTGATTACCTAATATTAATTCATTGGACTTTTTTTTTTAAACGATATTAATTCATTGGATGATTGCGATACATATTTGAAGTTATATTAGTAAAATAAGTTGATCAAGACAAAGTG